CGGCCCCGCCCCCGCTCCCGCGGCTGCCGCCTGGCCTGACCCCCGTGACCCCTGACCCCTCCGTGACCTCTGACCCCTGTGTGACCCCTCTGTGTGACCCTTGTGTCACTCCTCTGGGACCTGTGGCCCCTCTGTGACCCGCTGACCTCTCGTGGTGGCCTCAGCCTCAGGGACCTCCTGCTGACCTCTGACCTCTGCTCTCCTCTGGGGGCTTCGGTGCTGACCTCTGACCTCTGCCCCCCTCAGGCCTGTGCTGACCTTTGACCTCTCCCCCCCTCCCGGGCCGTGACCTTTGCACTGTGACCCCCGTGGCCACCCCAGGGACCCCCTGACCTGTGCCCGGTGACCTTTGACCCCCGGAGCGCAGCTTTAATAAAGGGGCGGTGCTCCCGTTGTGTCCCCGCTGTCCCTGGAGTCCCAGTGACGTGTGGGGGGGGCGGGGTCCCCGAGGCCGCCATCTTGAACGGGACCCCCCAAAAAAAGCGCGGGGAGGACGCCCCCCCCAACATGGCGGCGCCCGTGCTGGCTGCGCGCTCTGACTGGCTGAGCGCCCGAGCCGGCCCGGCGGCCGATTGGTCGGGTGGGATCACGTGGGCGGCGGAAAGGCCCGGGCGGTTACCGGGGAAACGGGGGCTGGGCAAAGGGGCGGTGCCGTCACGTGAGCGGCGCGAGGCCGGCGGCGGCTTCCGGTGGGAGCCGGGACCGAACTGGGAGCGAACTGGGAGCGAACTGGGAGCGAACTGGGACCGAACTGGGGTAACTGGGAGCGAACTGGGGTAACTGGGAGCGAACTGGGGGAACTGGGAGGTTCCGGGGGCTCCTGGGGGGCCTCTGGGGGTCCCGGTGCTGACCGTGTCCCTGTCCCTGTCCCTGTGATTATCTCCCTGTCCCCCTGTCCCCATCCCTGTGTCCCTGTCCCCGTCATTGTCCCCGTGTCCCCGTCCCCTATCCCCTGTCCCCATGTCCCTGTCCCTGTCATTGTCTCTCTGTCCCTGTCCCCTGTCCCCGTATCCCTGTCCCCATCCCTGTGTTCCTGTCCTTGTCCCCATGTCCCTGTCCCTGTCCCCGTGTCCCCCTGTCCCCATGTCCCTGTCCCCGTGTACCCGTGTCCCTGTCCCTGTCCCCGTGTCCCTGTCCCCATGTCCCTGTCCCCGTGTCCCTGTCCCCGTGTCCCTGTCCCCCCCTGTCCCCGTGTACCCGTGTCCCTGTCCCTGTCCCCGTGTCCCTGTCCCCATGTCCCTGTCCCCGTGTCCCTGTCCCCGTGTCCCTGTCCCTGTCCCCATGTCCCTGTCCCCATGTCCCTGTCCCTGTCCCTGTCCCTGTCCCCCTGTCCCTGTCCCTGTCCCTGTCCCTGTCCCAGCCATGCCGCTGCCCGTGGCGCTCCAGTCCCGCCTGGCCAAGCGGGGGCTGCTCAAGCACGTGGAGCCCGGTGAGGGGGCGGGGCCGGGACTAAGCGGTGGGTGGGGCTGTGTGGGTGGGCGTGGCCTCAGTGACCCCGCCCCCGGACCCAGAGTTCATTGTGGGGGCGGGGTTAGGCCAATGGGCGGGGTTATGAGCAGTGGGTGGGGTTGGGGAGCAGTGGGTGGGGTTAGGGAGAAATGGGCGGGGTTGGGGGGCAGTGGGCGGAGTTAAGGGCCCTTAGTTAAAGAGTGGGTGGGGTCTGGGATGGTGGGCGTGTCAGTGGGTGTGTCAGTGCCAGGCAGTGGGCGGAGCCAGGCTGACACCCCGCCCAGAGCCCGAGGAGATAATAACTGAGGATTGGGGCAGTGGATGTGGCAGGGCGGGGCAGTGAGTGTGGCAGGGCGGGGCAGTGGGTGTGGCAGGGCGGGGCAGTGGGTGTGGCAGGGCGGGGTAGTGGGTGTGGCAGGGCGGGGCAGTGGGTGTGGCAGGGCGGGGCAGGGAGGGGGGCAGTGGGCGGGGCCGG